TTTTGAAGTGGACGATAATAATTTTATTCGTGTAACGTTTATATTGAATGACATTTGATTTGCAATGTCCTGCGACTAATAGGGGGGTGTAAAACATATATAGTAAGATTTGGGTGATCTGCATCATAGTAAAATTCGAATTTACATAGTAAAATTTTATAATCGAATGTCTTCACACCCTCGTTTGATACCCTTGCTGTGTAGCAACCACCACCAAATTTGAGATATAATTTCTTTATCATATGTATCTACTTTATGAAAAATCTTAAAGCAGGTTGTTAATAAAACCGAAAATAATCTGACCCTCAAAGTCAAATTTTGCCTTTATATTCATATGCGTAAAATTTTGTTTGACGCGTCCAATTGCAAGTATAAGCAGAAATAAATGTCCAAATATTACATTATTATGAATATTTACAGATTTTTGATCACTTAGGTATGTCTTTTATAGTAAAATCATTTATTTTAAAAGTAAATATAATAAATAAATAGATTTTAAAATTTTTCTTTACCTATATACATAAATAATGATTAGAATAATAAACAAGCAACAATGATGATTAAATTAAAAGGTGTTTTATCTCTGACTTTATTCATTTAATTATTTATCATAGTGATGTTATTAAATATAAGTTAAAATAAAAGAGAAATTTATATACATAAATAAATAATAAACATAGCTATTGAATAATTGATAAAACATTTTGTTAGTATATTTTGTTCATAGATCTTGTTCTTAATGCTTACTTCGATTACACCTACACAAACTATTGAATAATTGATAAACCGTTTGTTAGTATGTTTTGTTCATAAATCTTGTCCTTAACGCTTACTTTGATCACTCCTATACAAACTGGATCTTAATCTTTATTATCATCCTCAAAAAAGATGATTCGTTGTCGTCGTTTGCATGTTATTGTTTAATGCTGCTATAACAATTACTGAATGATGGATATTCATGATAATCATTGATGAAACTTTAATCAATATAAAGTCAGAAATATAAAACAATCATTAATAAAATACCTTTTAGTTTTTGCTGAACCCATCTACATAAATTCATGACTATTAAAATTTCTATAAAATAGTTTTTCGTGAGCCTCTCTAAAACTTATTAACCAATGCCTCCATAAAGTAATGACCATATGAAAGCTTAAAGTATTCTACACCTTCTCATTTACTATCAAGTCTTTTAAAGCGATATTGAGAAATAATCTGAGCTTTGAAAGTGAAAAGGTAATGCCGTTTTTGAATAGCCGTGAATTCATCTAGAGGAGACCTTTCGATATGAAAGAGTATTCATTAGAAAGCTTTAATGGAGTACTTTCATTTTAGTCTGACAACGAAGTTCGAGTTTATTATAAAAATAACGAGATATTTTAAAAAAAAACTTCATGTGGCACGAATTTCGAATTTATTTTCACATATTAATATTCACACGACTACTTAACTATTTGCACGGTTATTTTTTTGTATGAGGACTAGATACAGTTAGAAGTTACATGAAAATTTTTGATGAGTATGGGGGGACACGCACCATATATTTTTTGTAAAAATTTCTATTTTATATATTTCTTTTTCTTTTTCTTTTTATTATCCGAACCCTAACCTCCTACATGCAAAGTATTCGATTTTCTCTTGATGTATGGCCAAATCCTCACTTCCTTTAATAACATTGAACGTCAGTGGACCATTCATCGTCATCAAAATCCGTACATTCCTGTCAAATTATCATCAAGCGTGCAGATTACTCCTGACAGAATACATTCTTTTATTTTTATAAATAAAACTACTTTATTCTATTAATAGTATTTCATGTTAATAACATGATTCCAAATTGATTGGGATATAATGAACTATTATTATTGCCACAATCACCCACAATTACCATGATTACTACTACTATTACTACTAAGTTGGTGATTTTATTATTATAAATAAATCAATCCTGTACAAATAGGTTGAATTCTTGATGTGTACATAACTAAGTATTTTAATAAATAACCACGTTATAATTCAAAAAAATTTTTATTAAAAAAAATTCTCAGCGCGGAGAGCCTTTCTCATTAATGGTTATCCGAGGTATAGAAAGAGTTCTATGGGTTTAATAACAAATAATATTAATCAAAGAAGCAAAGGGTTATAAAAGAATCAAAACTTTTGGGCCATTTCAAGAATCAATATGAAGTAGGCAGACATTATTCTATTTTGAAGCAATTTTCACTGAAGAATTATTAGATAGTTTTTTGTTTTTGTGTTATAAAAATAAATGATACAGTATTAGTATATACATATACTAATACTTACCGTAAATAATTACGGCTTTACGGTTTTACGATTTATGACTTTTACGACTTTAGGACATCGAATTTATTTCGGCTTATTATTATACCGCGATGCCGAATCGCCAATTTCGAAATAAAAATAATACTTTGATTAATATTAATTGATAATTCAATCAATTGAAATTTATTAATTTTTTTTAATTTTAGTTTACCAATAATAAATAAATAAATAAATAAATAAATAAATAAATAAATACTAAATGTAAATTTTCAACTTTTATAAACATCAATTTCCAATTTTTTTAATAGTGCAATGGCTTTTGGTTGTTTGTGCAAGGCAGCTAATTTCAAAAATTTAATTCCTCTTTTTTTATCTTTAGGAACTCCGAGTTTTCCATTATAATACAAATCACCCAAATTAAATATGGCTGTTGGATTTTCATTATCAACAGATAATGTAAGATACCTAATAAATAAATCTTTATCAAAATTTTTATTATCCACCAATGAAAATGCATAACGTAATTGAGCATCACCATTTCCTTCATCAGCAGCTTCTTTATATAATTTAATTGCATTCTCTTTATCTGTAAAGCCACAACGCCCCTCATCCATATAATATGCTTTCCAATATTTAGCTGCTGTATTTCCTAGTTCAGCATGAGCTTTAAAGCATTCCCAAGCCTTTTGCCACTCTTTACTTTTATGTGCATTTCGACCTTCACCAAATGGAAGAATTTGTGTAATTGAACCAGGTTTATTAATTTGTTTAGTTTCTAGCGGTTCTTCACTGTCACTAACAGAAACAGAATATTTACTGCGTACTATAGTGCCATCTGGATTACTTTCTTTTTTTGTAAATGTGGTGTTTGGATTTCTTTTGCCATATTTTTCGGACAAACTTTTCAATTGAAGGAAAATGGTTTGAAGAGATGTCCTTAATGTGAGATCATGTTCCCAAGCTTATCCAGATAATAGAATAATTGATGCCCATATTAATACTTTTATTTTATCTAAAGATTAAAATCCTAGAATTTATAATTTTGAAAACTTACCACCCATAAAAATCTTTGAATATTCTTCTTGTAGTTTTAACATTTCTTTATCTGAATCATCATAAATAACCAATTCTCTTTTATAGCTTAATACATAATCTTTAATTTGTTTCATGTCCCATTTTTCATAAGGGATTCTTTCAAATCCAAGCTCCCAAAGTAACATCCCAAAGCTAATTTGTTTGCAAAACAAAAATACATATTAATAAAATAAAAACATATTACATGGTAAATAAAAATGAAGCCATATTTCTTACCTAAATATTTCACATTTAAAATCATAAGATTGTTTAGGATTATATAACTTTTCTGGAGATAACCAATGAACAGCAACTGTTAAGTTTTTCAGTTCCCTGGTAGTATCTTGAACATTACGAGCATAATCAAAATTTGCAATTTTTGGTTCCATTTTTTTACTCATCTAATTTTTTTAAAATAAATATTATTTAGATATATATATATATATGTACACACACAATATGTTTTTTCAATTACCATAATATTTCCACAACGTATATCATGATGAAGGATGTCACATGAGTGTATAAATGTAATCCCACGACAAATTTCAAGAGCTATTGATACTTTTTCAGGCCAACTAATCTTATAGTTATTATAAACTTCATCCAAACCACCAAATTCTGCCCACTCAAGAACCATATTTGTTCCATCATCACTTGTAGAAAGACCATAGAACTTCAATATATTATTTGAATCATGCAATTTTTCCAAAATAGCTAATTGTGACTGAACAATTCGATAATCAACCGGTAAACTAACTTTATCGGGAATTGTTATAGGCTGAAAAGCAACTTCTTTATGATCATCATCATCATTCAAAACTTTTTTGTGAATTTGGTTTTCTTTTCCTCGGCTTTTTTTATACATAGGATCTTGTAACATAGTTGATGATATTTGAGTTGCCATTATAGGACTATCATTAGAATCTTGTTTATCTTTTGACTCTACCTGATTTTTGATAATAAGTACTTCTTGCAAAGATGTGTTCATTCGTTTGTTATCATCAACAATTCCACCTTGAATTGACTCCAAAAACTAAATTTTTTAAAAAGATATATATATACACATATAATATAGATGTGAAATTGATTTAATGATAATCAAAAGTATATTGATTATAATATGCATATAAATAATTTTAACCTTTTCCATTTCTTCGTAATCCTCTTCTAGATCTCGTTGATCAATTAGTTTTTGCTCCTCAGGAGCAACAGTCGTTTTAAAGTTTAAATTTCTCATAACATTATCAATATCTCGAGTAAGTTTTTCAAACATCTCTTTGAAATTACGATATTTACTGTATCCAGAAAGACGAGTAATATCCTTAAGAAATGTTTCTATTTCGCATAACACATTGGTAAAACGTACAAAATGTTTGTAATAATTTTCATTACGAAAAAGGTGTTCATTTTCTTCTTGTTTACGTCCTAGTTTTTTAATGTAAGCTGGAACAACATCTACACGATCCAAAAATAGATTACAAATTCTCTTATTATATTGTGCATTCTCATAAATACTCTCAATATGTTGTATTACTTTTCCTGCCGTGGCTATTAAAGTAACGAAACGTCTAGATGCTTCTCCCAAAGAATCAACACTGCTATATAATGATTTACTCATTATTTTTTTTTTGAATAAAATGAAGTATTTGAGTGAATGATTTTGTTTTTATAGAAATGCGTGAATAGTGATTTTTTTTGCAGATAGTTTCCAAATCTCCCTCTTTGTTTTTAAATTATAGTATTAGTACAAAAAAGGATAGCTTAACTAACTGTGCAAAACAATTAATATTAAATGATTATGTTTGGAAGTTTGTGGAATGTGTCCAATTTTTTGAAAAAAAAAATCCCCTCATATTTTTTAATCGATGATCTTTGAAAGCCAACAACTTTATGATAATGGAAAAAGTAAACCGAGAAAATTAAAGCTAAAAATTTAAGTTTCGTTTTTATCGGTTTACTCTTTTAATTGTCATAAAATTTTGTGGAATTATTGGCTTTCAAAGTTGAGGCATTTTACTATATGTAAAATTTTAAAATTCAGACTCTTTTTAAATAATTGTATTACATTAAAAAGGTAGCCAATAATCTATTTGCGTGGAAAATTCGTGTACCCGAAAACATCCGATTATATAATAATAACCATTATGAACGTCCTCAGAAATTATAATCTGATTTGATTAAGATTAATAAATCTAACCTTAAAACTTCGAAAAACTTTGATTGAAGCTGTGAAATCAAGACATCAAAATCTTTTTATAGTTGGATTGTATTGGTATCATGATGTAAACAATCTAGAAGAAGTTTACAAGATTACTTCAAAACGTGTTTTTGAAAGGGGAGAACATCATCAATCACGTATACCAGATATTCCTGAATATGAACATCTTATGTGGTCATTTCTACGATCATTTGAACCGCTTGATTCCAACCATGGGATTGACGGTCAATTTAATCTTGTGATAGAACTGAAAATTGCCATAAATCTATCCCCAAAAATTAAATATTTAATTTGTACAATCTTAAAATTTTGAATGGATATTTGAATATACATAAACAACCTCGTTAAAATGAATAATTTTTAAAACACCAGAGCCAAACATATGTAAAATTACCCCCGGATATGTAATTCCAACTCCTGGTACCAATTTGCCAACCGTTGAAATTGTAGTCCTTTTTAGGTTATCCTTGATGTATTGGAATTCTAATAAATTAACCATTTATAAAAATAAATACGTATATAGATTACATGTCGGTTTAATCGCAAAATAAATTTCTTTGCCTAGAATTGATAGGAATGTGATGTCAAAATATTTGTTTCAAAGATTATTTGTTTTGGTCATTAAACCAATGCTCTCATATCTTTTTTGTGTGTGTTGTTAATGTACTGTACGTGCTGTGAGATCGATTTCCGCGTCTCATAATAAATCTCAATTTATCGTTAATTATTATTTTGCTTACGGCTATGATTAAATGCTCCATGATAATTTTTAATCTCGATTGCAATTGCTTGTCTTGTTTGTATTATTAATAGCTCTTTGTCTATTAATCGGTGTGGTAACATTTTCTCGGCAGTTCTTTGTTATCGGCATACTCTATATAAAAAAAGGAAAGGTGACTGCGACATCATAATTTGGGTCAAAAATCTAATAAAGAAAAACATGCCATAAGGGTTTAACTAGCCCATTTTGGTAAATTATTTCCTAAACAGAAAAAATCCAATCGACATTCAACAGTTTCTCGGTCCTGTATATTACCCATTACTAAGTTTATTATACTATGATCAATATATCATTCATTATAGTTATTGCGAGCATACTATAAATGGACAACCTATTTGTATGGTTAGACATTCATTTACTTTCTTGTAATTAAGGGAAGCGAATCAACTAATTTTTAATTGTTACACTCGAACCCGATTCGAATCAATATATACCAATGCTATACTATCTTAATATGAATACAAAATTATTTTGCATAAATGCATGATTCACCGGCTTTCTTATATCCCATCGAAAACATTTATAAAATAAAATGTCTCATCTACTTCTACTTTCTATCCCTAGCATCTTGTAAGTATGTGTTACATGAAGATTGATGCCTAACTTCACATTAATCACTAGCCTAAAAATGCTCGTTCATCAAGGAAAAATCCATCAGGAGGTGAATATTCACTTTCGTGCCGTTGGACATAAACTCAAAAGGCTTAAAGAAACGAGCACTCTCGAACATAAGCAGGATAATGGCTGTCTGATTCAATCTTTTTACAAAAAGAATCGGAAATTTATATACGTAGTCTCTGGAACTTAAGTTGGTATGATTTTTGTATAATTAATGTGTATATTTTTGCATTAGAAAAATTACGCGTCCAAGTTTTCAAGTCAAAATTTTGAAGTTTTTAAAAAAAAGATTCACCGCCATTATTTTCGTTACGCGCTGTACATGTCAATGAACCTTTCTGTGTCCAAATAGACTAATGCTAATATGAAATAAATGTTTCTACATGTTTCCCGTATTAAAATGCATTTTCATTATTATGTAGGAAAAAGGCTTGGACCATAACGTGAAAAAAGCAATTTTAGAAATCATATCATTTTGCATATTAACATCTTGAGATATTGTTCTTTAAGTTTCTATAATAGTCTTTTTTCAAATTTTCTCAAAATGTTATAGTCCCTTTTTACCTAAAACATTCCCGCATAGTTTCCATAATAATATCAAAAACACTATTTTTCCACATGTATTAATTCCGCATCTATTACCAAGTATCTACACATAATATTTTATAGGGGAATAGAGTTATTGAAACGAGGTTTGACTGTATTTGTCTTATTCTAGTTATAAGCATATTTTATTTTTAAAAATCTGGTTCGAATCGTTCGGAGCCTTAGTGATCATGATCGCAATTATAGACAAACAAGCGAATCTCGTTAATTCGGAGGGGCAGCGATCCCAATCCCATTTGTCTATTGGGCGAGTGCAATAATAATGGATCACATGATATGTCAATTAATTCAACAAAATTTCATCACATCACATGTATGGTTCAAAAATTAAAAGTTAAAGAATGTGTTTATATAAATTGAAAATAATAAAATTATATAAAATAAACATACAAATGAATATATACAATTCTCGAATTAAATAATCTAAAGATATGAAATAAACTAATTTACAAAAATGTTATTTATATAATGTTTATATATGTCCAATTATTACATAAATTATTCCTCATAAAGTCTTCTTTCCATTGTACTAGTGATTTCAAACAAATATGTTTTTGATCCGACAATTTGATTCTCCGTGGAATTCGATGATGGGTCATTTATGTTTGTTGTTAAATCTGGTGAAGGAACATCATCGACGACTTGTATTGGATCATTGATGTCAACTTTATCTAAAAGTTTTACAACTTGTGACATTTTAGGTGCCAGCATGCTAATAGATGAATGGGAATTAATAAATGAATGAAATTGATTTAGTAATAAAAAGAAGAAAAGCATTAATTATATACCTTTATAGATGTCGACGTAAATTTTAGGTGTTCCTGGGATTATGTTTTCTCTTCCACCGTTAAAAACTTTATGACTAACATTATATGGTGAATTAAGACTTTGGAATGGTAGTTTTCCACTAGATATTTCCCACATGAGCATCCCCACACTATAAACATCTGATGCTTCTGTTCGTTTGTAATTATCAGGATCTTTTAAAAATTCAGGATCAGAATATCTTACAGAGCCGAATGCTTTGGAAAATGATGTTGTGGCACCAGCTATTGACTTTGACAAGCCAAAATCACCAAGTTTAATATCATTTGAGTGAATGAAAATGTTATTGGAATGCTTTTTTATTGATAGTTATTAATTAATAAAATAATTAATATATTTTATAATTTGCAAAGAAAAAAAAGAATTTAAATTAAACATTTACCAAATCTCTATGAATTATATTATTTGAATGAAGACAATGTATTGCACTTGAGATTTGGTTTGCAAACTTTAACTTTATATTCCAATCCATTTTACTAAAATTCTTGGATAAATATTGATGTAAAGTTCCATTATTAGCATATTCCATAACTAACATATATTCACCTAAAGCTAAAAATAAAACATTTGTTTTTAAGTTAATTATATACAGTGTATATATATCTATAAATCAAAATCAAAAAAAATAAAAATAAAAATACCATTTTTTGTTACACCATAAAAACCTATGACATTATCATGCATTTCAACTTGTCGATGTTGTTGAAGCTAAATGAGCAAAAAGGTACAACATATACATTTTAAAATCAATATATGTGTGTGTTTAATTTGTTAAAACCAAATTTTTTTTTTTTTTAAAAATTATTATTTAATAATAATTTTACCTCATTTACAATTTGTTTAAGCATTTGTTCAGTAGTGAATTTATTATTGATTTTAAGTGATTTTAAAACCATGTATTTTGCATATTGGATATTATATGCACAATAGACAGTTCCAAAGGAACCACTACCAATTTCTTTAGTATCACTAAATACTCCATACTTGTGAAGTTTTAAGTAATTGTTGGATACTGCTTTATCAATCCATTCAGAAAATACATTATTTTCTTTCTCCTTCTATCGAATAATTAAATAGATATTAAAATAATGTTTTTTTTTGTTTTAGAAAATTATTATAATTCTCAAAAAAAAACCTGTTGAGATAGAGCATGATGTGATTTTACTGTTGATGTAGGTGCTGAAGATGACTTTCCTATTCTTCCTAATATTGATTTTGGATGTATTAGAGGAGATTGTGGTAATGGAGGAGAACGCGATATTGGAGGAGGATGTGGTTCTGGAGGAGGAGGATTCTGTTGTTCAGGTGATTGTGTTTGTGGATTTGTTTTTGCGATTGGATGTTTTCTAAAAGCATGAGGAGCCTCCAGAGTCCATTCTTTTGGTAAACCCTAAACGAATAAAAAATTAAATAATGAATTAAGAGTGGCGAGGTTTGCTTCATCAATAATATCATCAAGTAAGACTTACTATAAGTTCGCCAGTTTCTCCAATACTAACGTGATATAAATGAGTAGGATAACGAGGGTGGGAAATTTTTCTTTTTTTGAAAAATTGAGAAAACATACTAGTCCTAAATGATATTATAAACATTGTGTTTGTATGTATGATTTTTTGTTGCTAAAATGTTGACTAATTGTGTGCAAAGCATCATATTTATAACTAATGGTGGTGTAAATAACGTCCCATGTTTATAGCTTGTACCCATTTTCATGATAATAACAATAGGGAATATTGGAATGATCATAATAATAATAATAATCAAGTTGTGAAATACTCCGGATTTCGGTAAAAAAATCTTTGATACTCCGAAATTTTCTAAAATAGGTTTATTACTCCAAAAAAATAAAAAAACATTACGATCATATCAATTATTAACGAAATAATAAAATTCAAAACTGTGACTACAAACAATTTTTGCGAAAACAATTATCTTTGAATGCTCATTATCTTGCATTCCGTAAAGTTATTTCTACTAAACCTTAAGTTTTATAAGGAAAAATTTTTATGATTTCTAATTCTGCTACACCATTTATAAGTATTAGAATTTTCGAGACTTTTACCCTTCCCATAAATGGCAGTGTTCAATAGTATAAAAATAGATATATGGCAGGACCCACAGTGTTCAAAGAAATTGTCTGAATGACCCTTGTGTTTGTTTGTATATTCAATGTTACACTTTATGAAATTACCAAAAATAAGAAACGTAGAAACGTACTTGGTGGTAAACTATCAGATTGTTAAAACAATGAGTTTTGAATATAATATACATAAAAGATGCATCTAGCAATCCATCAATCTATTTAGGAAATGTGAATTTTGTTAATAATGGAGAAACTTTAAAGTATTCTTTGATTTCCAAGAAAACTCATTCATTATTCTTTCAACCGTCGTGCCATTTGTTTGTCATCGTCTCACTTTGCAAGATTAGGAAATTGGAATATGAGCTCGCCATCTTTTTGATGGATTAATTGCTAATTATGGCAATTTTATTGAAAAAACAAACATTGACAATAAATATGTTTAAATTTAAATTTCGTATTAAAATAATATCTTATTAATATTAAAGCTATACCAAATACTACTTTCTAGTAGTCCATTAATCAATGCCTGTCTAATTCTCATGAAGCTCCGCTTTATTCTAAAATTAATTTCCCAAAAATAAACAAAGCATTTAAAAACGATATCATCTGAATAAATATTATTAGGGAACTAGAGCATGAGAAAAAAAACACTGTTTGCAATGATGTCAGAAATCATTTAAATATTTATGAACTTTATTTTTTTTTATTTAATGTGAGCGATGGTGATGATGATGATGCTACACCAGCACCTACTATTAATCAAGTTCTTGCTAACATAGCAAAAGAAGATTTTTTAAAAGAATTATGTAAGAATAAAAAGAAATTTACATATTAAAAGCTCACACCATGTTTGAGGTTCCGTTCGCAAGTAACTCGCAAGTTGAATAAGTTATCTGTCTCCAAAGCCGGTTTGTGATGAACAAACAAGCATTGGAGGTGACGAAGAAAAGGCAAAAAGTATGCAAACTAAATGTTAAGTGATCCAAAGAGTTGGGGAAAATAGAACAGGTTCAAATTATACTGAATATTCATTTTTTTCTACTGGTGAAGAAAAATAATCTGATTAGTAAACCATTTAAATTAGAAAACCATTGTAATAATGAACTGACGCAATAAAATTCAAAATTTCTTGATTAATCACTTGAGTTTTCCGCAACTAAAAATCTTCATAATTATGCATGCATGCAAAAGCTCGTGATTTTATTTTTTTGTTAAGCCTTCTGGCTTGATAAAAAGTGCTAAACTTTTCTTGCATTAGCACATAAATATTTCCTGCAAGCAAGGTGCCCCAGTTAAACCATTTTTACCCTTTAACTTTTATTATCATACCAATAATATACGGTATAAATTATAGTTGTTTGCAAAAATTGTTTTGGAAAAAAAATAATTAAAAGAAAAAGTTCTTCTTCGAATAACGGATTTTGTTTAAGAAACATAAGATTTTAGGATGCTTCACGTTCAATGGAAATGGAAGAGCATAATAGCATTAATCATCGATGAATATATATGTTAATAATAATGTTGAGTTTGACAACAACAAATAGTATCAAAGCTACGAACAAATCAAATTGAACGAATCAGATTCCCAACAGAATTGTAAATTTAAAATAGATATTATATTTTAAGGCGTTTCAACGAAGTTTACACGTGAGGCAAAATGCGAATTTAATTACAATTCGTTAAAACAAAGAAATTTTCATTGGATTAATTTAGATAGTATATTAATATATTTATTCGAATCAGAATCAAATCAAATCGAATGAAACGAATCAAAATTTATTTAGCATTTCAAAAACATGTATTTAAAGACTTAAAAATTCTGATAATAAATAAACTATCTTCTAATTATTTTAATAAACCTTGAAGGATCAATCCATCCTCAAAGTAATAATAGACTGGGACTAAACTTTAATAAATGTGGATCACCGGATATCCCAAGGATTTTACACTCTGGTTTAGTTTTTGAACAGCATCACGTTATAGAATAATTTTTATTAACAAAAGAAATTTTTCCATTTATTTATTACTCCCTGACTTTTTCATTGGTACATTTTGAATTACTTCTATCTTCATCACTATCATTTTCGTCTATATTTTGAATATTCAAATTATTTTCTATCACTATTCACCACAATAATGTTATTTTCATCATTACTAACGGAATTGTCAACTTTACTACAATTTCCGATTATGACAAAACTCTCGTCTGTAGGTTAAATAATTTTTATGTGAATGGGTTTAAAGGTGTCAAAGGTGTTAATACTAATAATTTTTTCAATAGTAATTTCAGTCTTGTGTATGCTGTTATCATAAAAATAAAAATAAAAACTCATTTAAACAAATTTTTTGGGAAGCACAAATTTAATATTAATTTGTACTACTCTTGAATTTAAAATTAACGCGCGTGAATTCAAATTAGCCAACCAGAATTTTGTATACAACACAGTTCCTTTCATTAATAATATTATATTAGTAATAATAATAATAATGGATGATAAATATGGTACAATTCAAAGAATTTGGAAAAAATCAATATTGGCATATTTTGATGAATTAAAGCAACCACCACCACCAGGATGGAATAAATTGCAATTAGATTTTTTCACATATTTGTTTACTTTTGTGAGAAGATTAATTCAACATCAACAAAAATATATCGGGAATTGCATTAAAGATGGGAACTACAGTTAACCGCAATTCAATTTTCATATGCCACAACCACAACCACAATTCAATTTTTATATGCTGCAATTAGTTGCAATTAATTGAGGAGTTATCTTTAAATTACATGTAAGATCTTGCATGAACCATTTAGTTAAAAGAACCAGCACTGTAAAGTAAGCAATTATATATTTAAATTAATTAATTAAATTATTTATTTACAATAATTTTTAGGATCAGTAATAATTATTCAGGATTTGAAAAGATGAAGTAAGCCTTGAGATCAATATCTGAAAGAGTATACCATAAAGTCTGGAAAGATAGCACTCTGTGACATTGCCTTTTTTAGTAATTTTATGGTTTGTCACACATGATTTATTATATTAATCATCACAATTCATAGAAAATTGATATTGTTACAGGACACTATCTTTCCAGACTTTACATTAATCAGCATAACAAAGAAACCAATTCATATGTGGCAAAATAAACTAATATCTTGAAGGGGCAAATGAAATAATGAGAAAATAATCATTAAAGATAAGTTATCCACAAAATGCAGATCTCATCACATACAGTATATGCTTGTTTCACATTTATAAAAGAGCAACCTTTTTTTTGGTGAATTGATAAGCCACTTACAAATGAATATTGGAAAAAATTAAAAAGTCGGATCATATATGGGGTAGAGAAGCCACACCAGCATATAGTTGTCTGCCAGAAATCAACTCACACACTAATTGTTTATTAGAGTTTCAGCAGAATTTTGGACTTTGAAAAGAATTAAAAATTAAATTTTATTGAATTTCTGTTTCTTGAGATTTTTTTTTGGCTAGCCATTTTTCAAAATAGAAATTTTATTAGTTGATTTATTGCTATTATAACAATTTACATTTTTATCATGAATATGAGAGAATTTTGTAAATTAAATGTTCCATTAAAAACAAAAACATCTGATTTAAATGAATCAGCAGAATCTTTAATCCAGCTATGTGGAAAACTGTTAACACTCAATAGAATTATTAAAGAAACCATTAATTATATTAATGATATTAACAATGCAATATAATGTACAAATAGCAAACAAATTAATTTTATATATTAAGTATTTTTACTAATTATGTTTAGGAATATTCAGATAGATGAGGTTGTCTGTATCTCTTATCATTATAAATGCATTATTATTTTAAAAAGAATAAAGAATAATTTATATTTTTACCACAATTAAGTTATTGTTCATAGAAAAGTGTTTAATTCGTTTTTGAAGTAATTCTTCAGAAATTCTTTACAGCTATATATAATAATTGCTGATTGCAGAAAGTCTTCCATCCATGGATTTTAAATAAACCAATTTCTTTGAGAAGCATAAAAAGGTGAAAATATATATGCAACATTAAATGACATGGATAATTGAACTGATTCAATTGCTCAAAGGAAATGTCATGTCCCCTACTTGATCAAATGAGGGAGGACTTGAACAAAGTTGTCTTCAACCCCTCACTTTTTCATAGCAAAGACCAGAAGTTCATAAAGTTGGTTGAATGTCCAATGAAATTTTTTTTATTATTTTTGTCTTCCCACACTGGTAATAGTTTATCAAACCAACATATTCAATTAATTAAATCCAGTCTTACATTTATTGTAATGAAAAATATATAAAGAAAATATAATAATAATCTAACATTTATTTATTTTTTATCAATTATTTGAAAAACTTTCAATTCATCAAATCTACTACCATGTACTATATTGATGTTACTATAAGCATATGGTTTACTACTAATGCTACCATCTACTCTAAATAAAAAATCATTGCCATTACCAAAAAATGGTAAATTAGAAGGACTACAACCGATTGCATAATTATTATCAATAACATAGCTAAATTGTGCAGTATTGATGTTATTTCTATTACTTATATTAAATATAAAACTTTCAGTTGTACTTTTCCATATACCACTTCCATTCCAATTCAGTGGATTATAACCACCAACTATTTGCTCTGAATTTTGCATTCCGCCAACTACAAGAGTTTTATTGATATTATCACATTGTTGATGAAATGTAGCAGCATTTAAACCATCTCTGCTACTACAATATATAAGTTTGAATTCATATTTGACTTCCTTGAATGAAGTATATGGTGGGTTTTTTCTATCAATCCAATTTGCAAAAAGCAAAGTAAGATCTTGATCAACTTGATCAATTGTCAATGATTCAAGTGTTGAATTCAATTTTAAAATTCTTGATGGTAATAAATTTAGTTCTTGCTGTCTATCAGGAAAAAAATAGTATTGTGAAAGGGATCTCCATAAAGTCCTAGGAAAAAGTATATCATATGGTTCAATTTTATCAAAAAAATCCTCTTTAGAGATATCCTGAAACCTTATTAGAGAAATAAATTCTTTTAATGTGTTGCCTAAATCAGCAAAATTTTGTAATGACCAATCTTTAACATTGATATTATTGATTTCAGGATGTTTTGCTAATCCCCATTTAAGAATGTTTTCCCAAATAACTATCTCATCAACAGAAAAATCATCTCTTTTGAGAATTTCCAATAAAATTGCTTTTTCCAATGATTTAAATTCACTTGATTTAAATAATTTTTCACTATATTCACAAAACTTTTCCAAATAAATATTTTTCAATTCCTTAAAATTTTCATTAGCATAAATCAATTGTAGAATTTTAACTGGATTTTTTTTAATATAATCTTCATAATTTTCAATAAAGCATTTCATCATATATTCATAAAGTGACTCAATACCAAGTTCATCTGCTGCAATTAATATTTCCAATACTTCAGCACCAGAATAATTTCCAAATTCAATTTTACATGTATATAAAAATCTTACAAAATAAATTAATTATTAAGCGAGTTATTATTATTATATGGGGTGTGGACAATAGAAACGGACCATGTTGTGAAAAAAGCAATTTTGAGTTAGTATCAATATTATATGTAATTCCTCATGTAGAACATTTTTGGCTTAGAAACCATACCCACTTTGCTTAATAAAACTTTGAGATACCCTCCATTAAAGTTTTAAAAACAATAGTAAATTACTTGAAATGCAGATCTTTTTTTTAAATTTTCTCAAAACATCATTTTCACAACATGGTCCGTTTCTATTGTTCAGACCCCATATATTCAATATCATAAACAAATAATTTAATATAATAATAAATTTATTTAAACTTACTTGAGAATAGGGTTGAAAAGTCTTTCACTGAGATTAGCTTTCTTAATAATATAATATCCATTTTCTTTCATTGCATCATTTAGTGCATTGTTAAAAAATGGACAATGAGCAGATATGATAGATGCATGTGCGTGTACTTCTTTTATGTTTGGCTCTACACCAACATATATTTTTACATCATAAAAATTTTCTGTATTTAACAATCTCTCATTTTCGTTAAAATATTTTTCAAATGTTGAATTCATTTTAAGATAAAAAAATTTGAAATAAAAAAAAAATTATCAAATTTTATTCATGATGTTCGATCGACATACATGATTGTGATTAACTAGTGATATTAGTTGGTAGAAAAACCTTAGCCGGCTTAGCCGGCTAAGCCGGTTAAGAACTTGAATAAATTTTTTATCTAATAATTTAGTAGACAAATATTATACTTGTATGAATTCACTAAAAATCGGGGTTTTTTATTATTTTACTAAACGTTGTGCGTGAAATTTAAATTGGCCAATCAGAAATTTGTATCCAAAAATAAATAAAATTACTGCTGATGAATATAGTAAAAAAATTCTAGCCAGCTAACATTTGATGAAATGAATTATTTATTCTTATTGAAAAATTCAATTAAAACATAATAAAAAATCAATTAATATAAAAATTAAAAAAATTAACCAACTTATTGATCAAAAAGTTTATAATTGGAGTTTACACTAATACCTTCATATAATTTTTTTCTATTAAAAAACTCTTCACCAGTTATTGATCCATTTATCCAATCAAAGTCACTTTCATCATACAATTGTTCACCATTATTTAATTGTTCAACATCACTACTATTATTAATATTGCCATCATCATCACTACTATTATTAATATTACTATTATTAATATTATTAATATTACTATTATTAATATTATTAATATTATTACTACTACAATACTGTTGCTATTTAACTTATCATAATCAAATGTTTCATTATTATTAATACTATTATTATCATTACTATTATTATTATCATTGCTGCGATTATTACTACTACTGCTACTAATACAATTATTAATGTTGCTACTACCACTACTACTAATACTATTAATATTACTACTGTTATTTAACCCATTGTTAATATTGTTATGCAATGACCCACCAGACCAAGAATTTGCTTTGCTACGAGTGTTGGAACTAATTAATTGCTTATTTTGTGGATTAGTTTTCTTTTTCTTTTTTGGCGGCATTACGAATGAATGAATATTTTTTATTATTTTTGAGAATAGAATTTGATTGGCTCAAGCCGGCTAAGCCGTTTAAAAATTTCTTAGCCGGCTGAGCCGTGTAAGCCGGCTAAGCCAGCTAAGCCGATAAATTTCTTAGCCGGATAACGTTGAATAGCATAGATGATACAACAATTATGGAAATTTTATTAGAACATGCAAAAAAAAACATTTTTTGGGTTGTAAATTTTGTTTTTATTAAATGAATTTGATTTTTTCATACATCGTTCATGTTTTGTCTTAATCGTGTATTTTAAAATATTGGTTGTGTTTACAATCATTTCATCGACATTCATTATATTAAGGTTATTTTGATTATATCAAGGGATATGGTCAGGAGAAGAGTTAGGAAGAGAGTTATTCTTCAACCGAGTCGAAAACCAACACTTTAAATACATTTTCGAGTAATACAATTTAATTTATTAGACTATTTCAAAGGTTTGTCGTATGATTGCTTCCAACTTCTTAAATTCGAACCATTTGTTAACGAAACAACTGTTGGTGAGGTATTGTTGACAAACCAACATTTTATTTTTATGTTATCAAATTCACGATTAATCAACAATTTCACGGGTTTAAAATTTTGTTACCTGTTCTTGTCCTTCACTCAAACAAATAATTGTTCGCAACACTACACTTTTTGGAATGTAATTGTTTTTTATGCATCAATACTTAATAAACGTTCTGGTCTTGGGTAATTCTTTTTAATAATATTTATTATTATTATGTAATAATAAGATAAACGTAAGTGTAACGTCGTTTACTATTATTTGTATTATAAATTTTATAATAAACGTAATAAAGGGTGCGTGATTTGCATAATCTACCAAGTGTTGTCGCATAAATCTGGAACCTCAACCATATAATTTTATTGACTAAACAACAAAAAGATGGTATGTTTTACAAGAGTATAAGGAATTCTTGTTATTGAAAACACTCAAATCTCCATAAAGGTGGTTAAAATTTTTTTAATTTTAATGATGATGATATTGAACAGCAAAAAAATTAAGAAAAGAAGGAAGATAACGGTAGTTTTAATAGATAACAAAGTTACTTATACAACAATAGAATCACCACAACCGATTAAAGACATTGATGGCAATAATACTGATAATAGTGATGGAATATGAAAAAAAGTTGAATTGAATCATGTATGTGTGTACAATGATGACAATGGTTATTTAAAATAAAGTTACTTGTTAGATATGGTTTCCACAATCTATCCAAGAGAAATTATCACAAATTGTTAAGTCAGCTTCTTTCTTCAATTGAAAGTTATATCTTGTTTTATAATGTATATATGTATTAATATGTCAATTGAAAATTTAATTTCTATATATTAATACATAACTTACAATGAAATTGCTTATTTACTAATTATTCAACAGTTCTTGATCCAAACATTCAGTTATATCACGTTAAAAAAAAAAGATTTAGTTAATTGTTTACATGATTTAAGGTACTACTATTTATTACCGCAAATACTTCTCTAAATCTGATTCTAGAGAAACGATTTTTTTGCAATTGAATTTAAAAAAAAAGTCAAAATAGAATGATTATAGCAAATTGTTTACAAATATAACATACATATATCCCATTCCAAAATATAATAATTATTTGAAAAAACATTTTATTTTATTTTTTTCTAATATATATTAGAAGCAATTTGATTGATTATATAAATTCTTTTAAAAAAAACTTTTAATGAATTGCTAAAAACAGCCATTGTAGTTCAATTATATATTAAATTATGAATCTGGATTTTTTTCTTTTGTTGTCAAATATGAAAACCAAAAAATTTTTGCACTATTACATTTTTCTATGTATAATACACAAAAAATCAAAAAAACTAAACTACTTCAACAAACTTTTGCACAAATTCACTAAAAATTTTGTGCAACTGGGGCCCTTTTCCCTATAAAGTATTAAATGAAATTATTTTAATTAATTAATTTTCAATTAGAAATAATATATATTGATAGTACTTGCCGTCACTAATATTAATGGCCCCATTTTTCTACGATTTTGTTCAACAACCAATGTCGAAATGTTGTCCAAGTATTAATTAAATAATATTTTAAGAAATTGTATTAAACCTCCTTCTTGACAACAATCACGACTTTTGCTTTTGTTTTGAGATGTTTATTAGATAATTTTTTAATTAAGGAATAATATCAATAATCAATAACAATTACAATAATAAAGGAACAATAATAAAGGATATGATATGATAACTGAGTATCAATTGTCACAATCAGTTGTGAACTACTAATTGATCCATCCAAGCAATGTTGGCATTTTTATATGTCCAATTAATTTTCAATTGGATTTGTCTTGTCCAATTAGCACAGTGGCTATTTGGACTGTCCAATATGCCAATGTGACTTTGTTAAACCATGTCCAATTCCAAATACTAACTAAACATTTGGATCCAGATATTGGACACAATTTGGACAATTTGGACTTTTAGACAGATTTGCCAACACTGCATCTAAATTCTGAGGTCTCTGGCAACAAGACCTTTTGCCAATGCCATGATATTTAAATGACATTGTATTCTAAACAATGAATAACTCATTGATCATCTTCATTTTTAAAAATTTTATTAATATTAATTTTTTTTCTTCAAAAAGTAATAAAACAAATAGATTTTTGTTTATTTATTTTTTACCTTATCTATTGCTGCCAGTTTTTTTAATAAAGCAACATCTCTGTGGTATATTTCTCTATTGTCATCATTGTTGTTATCTTGTGCTATCAACAATGATTTCTTTAAAATATCATTCTCTGTTCTGAGTTCTTCCACCAAACCTCGCAAACTGTTCAGATCACTTTCCTATAGGACCAATCAAAGTTCGTTAAACACAAACAGTCAGCCTTATCCATTCAAGAAGATTTATTACTTACCATATATTTTAATGGTTCACTAAGAAACAAATATCAAGGTATATCAAGGTTAAGGCTTTAGTTTACATAAACCATTCCTTTTAAATACCTAGTGATGCTGAGTGGTGATAACCACCATTCTTTTTAATAAACATTTTCCCTTTGGTATTGGCTCTTTCGACTTCTCTTTTTCTTTTGTTGTTGTTCTTATTGTTGCGCTTTTTTTTTAAAAAAAAACGAAAATTTAAATATATTTTTTGGAGATGTTTTTAAGACTGCAACTTGCAATTGTATAGATCAGTAAAGTATTTTTATACTTCAATGATCAACATTAGATGTTTTTTGATTGACATATATTATTATATAATAATAATAATAATAATAAAATATTAAATCATCAGAATAGTATTGATTGGTATTAGTAATTAGTATTAGGCATCTGCTAATACTAATATTAAATCAAGATCCGCTAAATCATCATTATTGTACTATTACTATTACTATTATTATTATTATTATTATTATTATTATTACAAACATAGCGGGCTTAAATATGATTGGTTGATTTTAGAAATTATAGTCACATATTATTTAATATAAAAATTTACCATCACCTGACTTTAAATGATAATGCAGCCTCACAAATAAGAATGCAGATAATAAAATTTATTGTATTCCAAAATACACACTTCAAATCATAAACTATTAAAATAATTTGAATAAGGGTTAGGTAATTCAGAAGTTAGCTATAGAGAAGTCTTTTTTTAAAAAAACCAAAGGTAGAATTTCAATAACCAATTTAAAAATGAATGAGCAAAGTCAAAACAAATGTGGAAAAAAAGGTAAGAGGAAGGTAGAACACTGTGATTTAGAAGGTTATGATGAAGTTATATGTGATTATGAAAAGAATGGTGCTTCTATTATATCTGATAGAGTGACAATACCGGAAATTAATTGTCATTTAAATTTAGTAGGAAAAGCTTTATGTAGAAAGCATTACAATAAGTTAATTGTTAATGCAAAAAAAAAAAAAATTACTAACATTTGTTCTCATCCTAAGCATCAAATATATTTACCTACAGCACAAAAAGAAACAACATCATTTAAAAAGGCACCTGAAAGACTAATTGAATATTTTAAATTATCTGAGACAGCTGTAATGTGTTATCATTGTTTATTGGAGACTGATCATGATTCAGAATATTTAGGTTCTTCAAATTATTTATTAAAAGAACTTTGAAAGAAAATATACAAAAATTTCAAGATAGAGTTTATGTATTACACAATGATGTTATTTACTCAGAAAAAGAATTTCAAGAATTGGAGACTGCATATCATGAGGTGTGTGCAGAACTTGATGAAGTAAAATTAGGTAATTATTTTTTTTCTTTTTTTTATTGTCAATTGTATTTGTTAACATGGTTATTTTTTTTATTTATTTTAGAAATGACTCCTCTTAGTAAAAAAATTAAACTAATGGCAGGTATACTGTATATAAGACAGAGAGTAAATAATGAAAAACCAATTTTGGAACCTGAAGCATTTAATAGTATGTTAGAAGAAACTGAACCAGAATTAAAAGGGTTTTTGATCAACTATATGAAGGAACTGATCCAGGTTCTAAAAGCAATATGATTAATGAAAAAAATAAAAAAAGATTAGTTTTATTTTGTTATTTTTTGGCAGGTCTGAATAATAAATTTATTAGTGGAATTAAAGCAGAAATTGGCTATCTATTGGATGGTGCAGGTGCATCTATCTCAGCAATTGAGACATTTGCAGGAGCAGGCATGAGTATTAGACGTGGGACTGTAGCAAAAAATAAAAAAAAGGATGCATCAACTCACATTGAGACAGTTGGAATTTTTGTTGCAGAATTTGTAAGTATATCTTCATAATAAATATATTTATTATCCATAATTAAAAATTTGGTTTTTTGTATTAATATAATAATAATCTTGATGTAGATGAACAAACTCATTGTGCTCAATCTAGATGACTATCATAACATTCATACAAAATGTCAAGCTGACACAACTACAACATCTGATGTTCATCATTTTCAGACTATTTTGTTAAAAGTAGCATCAGAAACACCAGCTGTCCCATTTACAAATTTACTCATGGAAAAAAATATTCATAATCCTAAGGGTATTGGTGTTGATCTGGTTGTTGATAATGCAAGTCATTCATTTTTCCCTTATCTATGGTTAACATATAATGAGCGTAAATTTGCATTTTCTGGAAAATTACCCGAAGCAAAGAATCATGAAGAGCATGTGGAGATGTTATTAGTACATAACTATGACAATAGGATGCAACAGCTTAGAGATGATAGAATCATGAATAACACAAAACTTGTTAACTTGGTGGAGGGAAATTTACATTCCACTGAAGATTATATAAAAGCACTCCAAAATGTCTTCAATGTTCCAGAATTGAAATTATATCTTGAAAAAATATATTGTAGCACCAATGGACTACCCTGGACAGTTTTATGTGAGGCGTGCAATATCATCTTGTATAAATTCTGCAAGTACATCTGAGCTTTCAACATTACTACTTCACATAGTTGCAATGATTGGTCCTTTGCATGACTCTTTAAATAGTCATGAAGCAGTTTTTTTATTGATTTATGCTTTTTTCAACAAATTAAATTGTGAAGTATATTTAAAGAAGAAGAAACTAGCCAAAAGACCAAAGCCATATAAAATCAATGTACTGCTTGAATTAGATGCTTCTGGATGGAGTCTAATACAAAAAGAAGTACTTGCAAAGTTCTGTAATTGCAAAAATCCTGAGGTAAGGTATTTATTAGATCATTCAGATAATGTTATACCTCTAGTTCTAGATTTTTATCCAGTAATATTTTGAAGTGGATATTGGCTTGCATACAAAGAAGCAATGTTTTGCGTTTGGATGCTTTTTCACAGGTATGGTTGTAAAAATTACAATAAATTACCATTAGCATTTTTTAGTGATGTCTTCTATTGGTTCACTACACATCATCCTATGGCATCAATCATTGAACAAAATTTTCACTTGCTCAATGATTATTATGTGGAGAATTTTCATTCTTCATTTCATCTTCAGACTAGTAAATCAAATTCATCTGAGCAAATTATCACACAGGCTAAAATAATTGACCAAACACATGGTAATGGTAACAATCAATTTAAAGAAGTTTTCTCAGAGTCCCACAATATAATATATACAGAAAAGGAATTAGAATTTATGAAAAAAAGAGCAGCAATATTTTTGTTGGAGCTTCTTATGAGAATGTTTAATAATCATGACAATGTAGTAAAAATTGATGCATCAGGTAAGTCAGGCAAGAACAAAAAACAAAAAAACAAAATTCAATATAAGCTTCCAACATTGGATACAATTGTGGATGCAAAACTACTTCCATTAGCATGGAGTACATCTTTTCATCCAAGAGCTGACAGATATTGTGATTGAGAAGCATGTGAATTGTCTCACAATATTGGTTGTAATTTAGCATGTGGACATTCTTACCATTATGAATGCTTTTTGTTAAATCTTTCAAGTCAATGTCAGCATTGTAATGAATATTTAGAAAAAGGTATTATTGATAATGGTAAAGCTTTTCAAAAAGTTTAAATTCCTTTGATGAAAATTTTTTATTGGAAAAAGAAGAGGAAGAAGATGACATTATGGATGAAGTAGATGATGATAAAAGTATTTCCTTGGATACTTCTGTAGATACAATTTTAGATAATCTTTTATCATCTTTTAAAGATTTAGGAGTTGTCAAAGCTAAACTAGAGTTTCTATCCATAATGGTAATACAAGTTCCTATTTGAATTATTTGAATTATTATTTGTTTTATTCATTTATTTGTTTTATTATTATTTTCATTTATCCATTTTATTCAAATTATTCAAATTGTTGTTTTGTTCATTTTATTTTTATTTATTTGTTTTATTTGTCTTATTTTATTCAAATAAACATTCAAATTCATAACATTGTTTTAAAAATTTTAATTAATGATCATTATACAAAAATTAACCAATAAATTATCAACTTAAAATTGACCAATCACAGAGAAAGCCCACTATGTTCGCGGTATCCTAAACAACGACGTTAACTCATCTATCGCCTTCATTGTTAAAAATTTTATTAATATTAAATCAAAATTTTTTTTCTCCAAAAAATAATAAAACAAATAGATTTTTGTTTATTTTTTTTTTTTTACCTTATCTACTGCCACCGGTTTTTTTAATAGAATGACATCTCTATAATATATTTCTCTATGATATATAAAGAGATATATATTATTTAATTTTCTTCTACTTCATCCCATTTATTCTTATCTAGTAATAATACCTTTTTGTAGCCGTGGTTAGTATTAGGGTTTGTATTCACGGATGCCGTAAAGAGGTCACACAGGGTTACACACTATTAAAATCAAGTGTTTTTAAGGGATTTTTTGCTGATTTATTAGTGTGTAACCCCCTTAATACAAACCCTAGCCGTGGTGTTTTCAACCAAGAGTTCGCTACATATATCTAAAATTTTTTTAAAGAACTTTTTCTTTTTTTAGAAAAAAATAAGATAACATCGTCGTCATTGTCATCAACTTTTTTTTGATTATTTTTCGCTTGTTCAATTGTTTTGATTTTTTCTTTAGCATTTTCTTTTTTTTTAATGTAATTTCATTACGATTCTTCGTGATGTTTTCTTTATTATCTTCATTGTCGTCGTTATTATCTTGTATTATTGATAAAGATTTCTTTAAATTATCATTCTCTCTCGTAAACTGTTCAAATCATTTTCCTATGAGACCAATCAAGGTTCATTAAAAACAAACAGTCGGCCTTATCCATTCAAGAAGATTTATTACTTACCATGTCTTTTAACAGTTCACTAAGAAACAAATATCAAGGTATATCAAGGTTAAGGTTTTAGTTTACATAAACCATTCCTTTTAAATACCTAGTGATGCCGAGTGGTGATAACTACCATTCTTTTTAATAAACATTTTCCCTTTGGTATTGGCTCTTTCGACTTCTCTTTTTCTTTTGTTGTTGTTCTTATTGTTGCGCTTTTTTTTTAAAAAAAAACGAAAATTTAAATATATTTTTTGGAGATGTTTTTAAGACTGCAACTTGCAATTGTATAGATCAGTAAAGTATTTTTATACTTCAATGATCAACATTAGATGTTTTTTGATCGACATATATTATATAATAATAATAATAATAAAATATTAAATCGTCAGAATAGTATTGGTTGGTATTAGTAATTAGTATTAGGCATCTGCTAATACTAATATTAAATCAAGATCCGCTAAATCATCGTTATTGTACTATTACTATTACTATTTATTATTATTATTATTACTATTAGTAGTTGGCAGGTCCATATTCCATACATCCAAATGAAAAGTATGTACCCAATAAAATTTCTAGTACAAAAATTAGTATAAAATCTCTACGATTATAAATACAATGACCTTTGAATTTTTTTTTAGCAAAAAAAAATGTCTACAAAATTTATCACACCATCAAATTTGACTGCTAATAAAAAAACATTTACAAATGGAGTGATAACCAATAATCATTCATCTGTTCAAGCCAACTTCAAAGTTAAAACAGGTCTTGCTCAAATGTTGAAGGTTTGTTTTTATTAATTTTATTTTTTCTGATCAAAAAAAATTTTTTTTTAAAAATTATTTAATTACCATTAAATAATAATAAAGGGAGGAGTAATTATGGATGTTGTGAATGTTGAACAAGCAAGAATTGCCGAAGAAGCTGGCGCAGTAGCTGTTATGGCTTTAGAACGTGTACCAGCTGATATTAGAAAACAAGGTTTAAAATATATTTTTTTTAAATAAATAAATAAATATATAAATTCAGAAATCAACATTGTTGTAATCTAGTAAAATTTCATTATTAATATTATTAGGTGGCGTTGCTAGAATGTCTGATCCAAAAATGATAAAAGAGATAAAAGCAGCAGTCACAATTCCAGTAATGGCTAAAGTAAGAATTGGACATTTTGTAGAAGCTCAGGTAAAATTGAACACTATGTTTTCCTTTTTTCCAATTGTTATTTTTCATGTCATTATGTATATATATATATATTAATTTTATTCCATATATATTTATCATCAACAACAATAAAGATTTTAGAAGCAATTAATGTTGATTATATTGATGAATCCGAAGTACTTACACCAGCTGATGAACAACATCACATAAATAAAAATAATTTCAAAGTTCCATTTGTATGTGGGGCTAAGAATTTAGGTGAAGCACTTCGAAGAATTACTGAAGGTGCTGCAATGATACGTACCAAAGGTGAAGCAGGCACAGGAAATGTGGTAGAAGCTGTAAAACATATGAGAACTATTACAAATGAAATTAGAAAAGCTTCAGTTATGAATGACGAAGAATTATATTGTTATGCTAAAGAAATACAGGCACCTTATAATTTATTAAAAGAGACTGCTGAATTGAAAAGACTTCCAGTAGTGAATTTCTCTGCCGGGGGTTTGGCAACGTAATTATTTGATGATACAATATATCATTTTAACATTGATTATTCTTAAAGATTTTAACTTTATTTTATTTACTTTTTAAAAAAATATTTACAAACAGACCTGCAGATGCAGCAATGATGATGCAACTTGGGTGTGATGGTGTGTTTGTTGGTTCTGGAATATTTAAATCTGGCGATCCAGCAAAAAGAGCCAAAGCCATAGTTCAGGCTGTAACTTATTACAATGATCCAAAAGTATTAGCGAATGTATCTGAAGATTTAGGTGAACCTATGGTATGTTATGTTTTCAAATTTAAGATGATGCTATCGTTTTAATTTGTTCCATCTATTAAAATAACGTTTTCAAAAAAAATATTAAGGTTGGCATTAATATTGAAACAATACCGACGCATCAACTTTTGGCTAAAAGAGGATGGTGAAATAAAATTTTATATATAATTTATATATAATTAAAAATTAAAATGAATAATTTTATTTTATTTCTAATGTATGCTCGATCTTTTTTATTTATTTATTTATTTAATTTAATAAAGAAAATTAATTGATTTTTTATTTAATAAAGAAACGTTATGGTGTAAATTAGTTTTTTCAATTAAATTAATACGCGTATTTTATATTATTATTACAGACATACACCTGGACAAAAAGTTCGGTCACATGCTCGAAACACGATTGGGTGGCCATAATTGAAATGTTATAAATCACTAATCATCGTCGTTGTCATCAATTATTTCACCTAATGCCAAAAATTAAATGACTTCAATTTCTACTGCATTTCGAGTTACAGCTCCATAGGCGGGTCTATCAATGGAACTGCGACCTACAAGAGTGATAAGGGAAATCAAACTTACAGAGATATTGTCTAAAAATGTGGATATGTTGGATTTCGGAATCCTGGCAAATGATTTGTGTATTGGAAGATTTATCTATTCATTAAATTTATAGTGCGTATGAAATTTTACAACGCTTGTTATTATTATGATCGGTTTATCCTACCCTTTATTTTTTTCTTATTAAATTATTTTGTTGGAAACATAATTTTTATACGTTCCCAGCCCTTTTTGAACAAATTTAAGATATTTTTCATTTTCGTAGAAATTTAAAAAGTGTATTATTGTGTGTGGCCGTTAAGGCAAATGAAGACAAGACATCAAAGAAAAAAAATTATGAAGGCAATAGTAAAAAACGCAACATCACATTTGTTTCAACGAATTATGAAAACATATAAAAATACGACTAGTAAATTTTCTTATCGTTATATGTCAAGCCATTTCGTTGTAACAAGGAAGGTTATAGTTTGGTTATCGTACCAAATCTTTGGTTTTTGCCATTTTATTGGAATCGAATTAGCTGTGTGATATAAATATACAAAGCGTGATAATAATAATAAATCAGTAATGAAGTTAAATCAACATATTAATACAAATATAAAAGTAAAAATGTAGTATCCGTTCCAAAAACGTTGTTTAATTACTGTTATACATATATACTCTCAAGCGCTTTTGTACTAGATCATGTGGTTTTTTTGTGTTTTATTGCTTCTAATTATAATTTAAAAACAAACTTTGGGAGAAATGACGTATTCGCAGTAGATACATCATCACCAAGAATAGCAAATGCACAATCTAGAGCATTCTGTGAAGAAGGTACATACACAACAGCAACTCCAATACTGTACGATTCAGGTAAAGTGGTTGGTATCAGAACTTCTGCTGCTATATTAAATGCAGCTCCAGCTGGAATTTGACACTCTCTTCCAGTACAAATAGCCACAACAACGAGAACAAGATTTCCGGAAACAATGAACCAATCGGTTCCTCCAGAACAATATATCAGGTGAAAGTGTTACAGTGATTGTATGTGGTGTTCCCACAAACTAAAGGATATGATTTGAAGTTAATATCTCTTTTATTGTTATGAAGTTAACTTGAAATAGTATCGACAACGGAAACATAGCCAATGAAAAATAAAATTTCGGCTCACAATTTCTTTGTGAATGTAGAATTAAACAATAAACAAAAAAGATAACATATTCATTGCTTTTAAATTATCGCCTTTACTGTGGAGTTTCGTTTCGGTGTTGATTTCTTTTTGAGAAATAGATGTATGAAGAATATTACTACAATACGAAAGATAAAATATGCCAATCAATTAAGCCGATGTCTTATACTACACATATCTTTTTCTCATAATTATCCTATTGATCCGAGACGTAGTGTCTCATATAATGAAATCCGATCAATATTAGCGTATGATTGTATACTAGAAACAACCTGGTAAGAGAGACGACGTGCATTAATGAATTATGGATAAATTCTTTAAATTATTATATCCATTGAAGTTAATATTTTTTTTCTCTTTTCCTTATTTATATATTTTTTATTGGAGTTAATGGAAAGATGTAATGAACTAAAAATTCTCGAGCCCACATTGCTAATGTCAAAATCGCAGACGTTATAACACTAATAGTAAAATGTAAAATGTATTGGGTATTAGTATTAGTATTTTAAGGAGCGAGACAAATCAAGTGACTAAAAATCAGTTTATTGGACCAAGATTGCAAAATATGGGGTACGGCAAGCAGAAAGGAATCCATTGAGAAAATATAAGAATTGATCAACTAAAGATAGCTCCTCAATTAATTGCGACTAGTTGCAACTAATTACGGCATATAAAAATTGAATTGCAGCTAATTGCAGTCCCATCTTTAGCATCTGATCGAGAGAGTAAAATTCAGGAATCTGAAGAAGTAAAGCCTATATAATATTATAAATTTATATTACTTATTCTCATGTAACATAAAAAATTTTATTAAAAAAAAAAATAAAAATAAACAGGACCTTTCTAAAATCATGCACGAATAGGTGTTTCATATCACTAAAATGAAGAGTGTTAGTATTTGTACTGTTCGAGTAGGAATGAACCATTTAATATAATTTTTGACAAAATTCGATATAAATAAGATAGATACAGTGTGTTACAAAAATAATTGGCCAAAAAAAAAGTATTATTACTCGATAATGAGTGTATTAATTTTAGTTTTGTTTTTTTTTATTTAAAGTTGGAAATGATATGATTTTATTTATATAAAATTAATAAGAAATTCTTTCCCCATTATTTTCAATTATAAGTTC